GAAGAGAGAGGGAGGAATTGTATTTTTTCTCTAGCATAATCAGAAAAGGATAAGGGTTTAAATACTTGGATCCTGTTTTTATGATTTTGATGTTGCAGGCACTTGCTAAAGATATTCCATGGAAAATGAAGGACTCACGTGTTGTTGAGATTCTTCAAGCGGTATGTATGATAATGACTATTTTCATTAGTAATGTATGCTTAATAAATTTCAACCTTCCATCCGTAATTTCTATTTGGCTGCTTCACAGATAGATAGCAACACAGATGGGCTTGTAGATTTTGAAGAGTTTGTTGCTGCCACTTTACATGTGAATCAGATGGAGGTACATAATTCAGAAAAATGGAATCAAAGATCACAATTTGCTTTTGAGAAATTCGATGCAGACAAAGATGGTTTTATCACTCCACAAGAACTTCAAATGGTACACTTTTTATTCTGATTGATGATTATGTTGAGATGTTTTTGGCACTGCCATCATGCTGCATTAGTTTGTTACTTGACACCGTATCTAGGATAATGTGGTATTAAGCCCATTTCAAACACTATATATATATAGAAGTATAATTAATAGAATTGATCAGATAAAAATGTCATAAATAAAACTAGATTACTTAAAAGGAGTGGCGGATGTAATGTTTTATATTCAACAACTATGGGGTGTTTGGATCTGATTCTTAAAACTGCTTCTGCTCCTTCAGGGAGCAGAAGCAGAAGTTGGAGTGTTTGGGTGAAAGTGCGGAAGTGATTCTGGTGCTCTAATTTACTCATAGAATCAGTTTTTTTAGAAGCGGGGGGTGACCAGCTTCTGAAAACCTTGTGCTTTAAAAAAGAAGCAGAAGCAGAATCAGTTCCAAACACCCCCTATGTCTTGCAATAATGCTAACTCACACACATGTTATTACTACTATGCCATAATCTTACTATATACAAAGCAAGGTGGAAAATCTGGCCAACTTCCCGCCAAAAGATACGGGTCAAGAATAGCTTAAAACGGGTCAACCCAGTCAAAGTAATCAGGCTACGTGAAACTCGAAAAAGTCTATTGTCATTTCACTTGTGTATTCTGAAAAATCTTCTGAAAAGAGAAGAAATGAATACGAAGTACATGACTAGGGTCTAGGGCAGTAGGAGAGTGGTCGGACTTCTGAATAGGGAAGCTTGGTAATATTTAATAAGCTGAACTTCATACCTTCCCATACTTCTATGAGTACGTCTAAGAGCCTGAGAGAGAGAGAGAGAGAGAGAGAGAGAGAGAGAGAGAGAGAGTTAGAGAGACATTGGAACAGGGCAGTAGACGTCAACTTCGTAACAATTTGTAGTTTTCATTAAATACTTTGTAAGAAGCAAGTTCTTCAAAACTCAATGTCTCTCTAACTCTTCTCTCTTAGTATACTACGTAGTACATTAATACCTTCCCATAATAAGTGCTCAACAATCGTCACATCTTGAGAAGTCAAAAGACCATCCTACATTGGCTCAATATGTATGAATTGACTACTTAATAAGTTTCGATCAATGCTCACATATATTTTATTTGCAGCACACGGGCTTAAAGGGCTCCATAAATCCACTTCTCGAAGAAGCAGACATTGATAAAGATGGCAAGATAAGTTTGTCTGAATTCAGAAAGCTCTTAAGAACTGCAAGTATGGGTTCTTCTCGTTCATTTTCGTTGAGACATCAACATTATTAGAATCGTGTTATAATATAAAGAAATACTGTGTGTTTAAACAGTATGCTTTATATATAGAAGATTTTGTCGATACACTAACTGTAAATTTTGTTAACCTTTAGAAACTATACATAGTATCGTTTGTATTGCCACATAGTTGTAGTTGGTCCCATCTTTCTGTGTTATTGGAGTAAAAGAAAATTATTGTATTTTTTATTTTTTCTTTTTATCTTTTTTCATCTTATGAAATAATAATGTTGTGGTGGTGGAATAAAGTGATGCGAAGTAAAATTAATATCTTAGTTGCCAACATACATTTCTCGTATATTTTTACTCTATGAGGTTTTAGATTTTAAAATATCTCAGTATTGTTTGCACCTAGTACTTTATTTATTCTCATTTAATGAAAAATAATACTATCATTTTAGAAGTTAAATGGTTCATTTCTAATTTAATTAGTAACTGAGTGAAAATAAACAACATGAGTGATTGCTAAAGTTTATTTGAACAGTTTCTTTAAAATTGGATATGTTTTTAACATAGAAAGCAAAATTGGCCCATCAACATGAGTGATTGCTAAATTGTGTATTTCCGTCTGATTGTCTCCATAGTGGCTTTGATCAACCATAGCAACAACAGTTTCGGTCAAGAGAAAGCTATTATGAACAAAGTCAAATGGCATTACCAGTAAACTGATGTAATAGTTTTACACGTTTAGAATTGGCTGAATTTTAAGCAAAAAATCTACAAATTACACAGGTATTACAAAAATGGGTCGGGCAAAGATGGGACGTCCACTTATATCTCAGATTTGCCCCTCAACCATGCGGCGGCTGAAGTGGTACTTAGGCTTCCTCTGAATTGTCAGGTCGGGCAGTCTCTTGGAGGCTTGGAGCAGATGGGCGTCCATCGTTTACTTAGGTTGAGCCTAGGGTTGGACTCGGGTCCGGGCCGGGTCCGGGTCGGGCCTAGGCCCGGGCGGGCCGGCGGGTCAGAAATGGTGGACCCGGGACCGGCCCGGGTAACCACCGGGTCCGGTCCGGGTCCGGTCCGGGCCGGTCCGGGCCAGGCCCATTATATATATATTTTTTGTTTTCCTCTTCCTAATTAACCCCCCTCCCACCCCCAACCCCCCAAACCACCCCAAATGGTCCAAAATACCCAGCCCAACCCGAAAAGTTAAAAAAAATTGAAAAAAAAAATATTTTTTGGCCCGAACCGGGCCCGGGCCCGGCCGAGTCGGGCCTTGTTTTGGGTGACCCGAGCCCGGACCGGAAAACCCACGGGCCGGGCCTACCCGGACCGGTCACTGACCGGGCCACCGGGTCGGGCCGGGCCGGAACAGTTATTATTTTTTGCTTCATGGTTGTTATGCCTTTATGCAGTTATTATTATATTTTTTTGGTTAAAAAATACACAGGTATTACAAAGTACATTATGAATGATCGAGCAAGAGTTAGATATGATTAAGATAGGGACAAATAAGCCTTGAACCGGGATAGGTCTAGAAAAATAAAAGATTAACTATGTGATGTAGGTTATGAGGTATACGTGTGCAGCCTATGATAGTGGATCAAATTTATTGTGTTGGGTTTACTGATCTATTCGGTTCTTAAAATCTGTGAGTTTTTCCTTTTATAATATCTTTATTTTATGTTTGTACTTACAATAATAGCAAATTAACTTGATGTTATTTTAAAAAAATCTGTCTTATTCTATTTCAGTAATTCATGCATTATCATTTTCTGTTGTAGAATGATAGTTATACCAAAAATAAGAAATAATTGTAGATTTTTAAATCTATTTTATTAAATTTTATTCTAGATTTTTTCTTGAAAATCTATTTTATTAAATTTGTACGCTCAATAATTGTAGAAATCAAAATTCGCTATTTTTTCAATTTTAGTATTTTTAATTTCTTTCTATTTTCTTTATTCTATGTTATTATATTCTATAAATTATATGATATAGTTTATCATTGAATTCTAGTGATTTGGGATATATATTTTGGATTTTGGCTATGTTAATGTAAATGTATTAATAGTTTAATTTTATGTGATACTCCGTACATTTTTTCTTCATTTTTTCAATTTCTATTATATCACATAAAATTACAACATTAATACATTTTTTTATTAAAAATAGCCAAAACCTCCAAAACCTATGCCTCAAATCACTAAAATTGAACGATAAACTATATCGTATTATTTATATAATATAATAATATAAAATAAAGAAAATAGAAAGAAATTACAAATACTAAAATGGATAAAATAAAAAATTTAGATTTTTAGAATTAACATAGCATAAAATAAAATAAATTATATTTTTCATGAAAAACTAGAATAAATCTTTGAATGATAAAAATATTAGTCACATCTCACTTTTGAAAATAGAAAATGTAAAATTGAATAAAGGAAAATCATACCAAATCATAACTTGTTAACACAACTGGAAAAAATGAATTGGAAAAATGAAAAAAAATGAAATTTTAGTGAAAATAAATAAAAAATGACTAAAAATATATTATTTCTACTCGGTACGTTTGTAGAATTTTCATAATTATTTTTACATTTTTAAAAATATTTAATTTGGAAATTTATAATTTTTTTATATTTCTCCAAAATTGAGAAATGATAAAAATCTGAACCCCTTAATACAACTTTATTTTTTTTAACCCGCAACGGCCGTGTGGAGCTAACAGAAACTGAAATAAGGCTGGACCTTTGGTGTGCACGTGTATAAGGCCTACGGTCGCTTTGCTGACCGAATCACCGTGATTAACTTCCCCACCATCCTGTCAGGCCGGGGTGGAGGCTCCTGGGATGGGAGATTCCACTTTTTGGACCAAAAAGCGGAATTTTTATTGCTTTGTCTCCCAAACAAGTGTTAACTTTGACCCCTTAAATTCCATTATTAACCCCTTCACCCTCCTTCCAAACACAATTATTTCACCAACTTTGCTTGGTGTACACGTGTTGTATACACCTTTTGTGTACACCCGTCTGTCCCCAGCAGACGAGTTGTGTGATCAAGGAAAAGTTTAAAATAATAATCTCAATTATTGCCAGTCCGCTAACAATAATCCTAACTACTACCTCCGTTCCCATTTTAACTTCCAAATGGGTTTGACACAAAGTTTAAGATAGTAGATATTGTGTGGTGGAGAATTGTGCAGAGGAGAAAGAAATGTGTAAGAAATGTTGTGAACCACAAATTCTTTACTAAAAAGGGAAAATGGAAGTTTTAATTGGAACGAACCGAAAAGGAAAGTTGGAAGTTTATTTAGAAAAGGAGGGAGTATCTATTATTTTTCTATAATCCCAATTTTTGTTTTGCTGGAAAGATTTGAGAGCAGAGACGACAACGAAATTACGCTTAGCCGGAAAACCAGAAATTCCTCGTAGATGAATGAAGATAGTGACGTACAATGTGAACGGCTTAAGGCCTCGAATCTCACAGTTCGGTTCTCTTTCCAATCTCCTCAACGCTCTCGACGCCGATATCATCTGCTTCCAGGAGACGAAGCTGTCGAGGCAAGACTTTAGAGCCGATTTGGTTAGAGCTGAAGGCTACGAATCATTCTTCACTTGCACACGTACTTCCGACAAAGGCCGATCAGCCGGCTATTCTGGTTTGTTTTCGCCTCCATTGCTCTTATCTACACATTTGGCTGTTCTTTTCTGTCCTTCTAGTCCATATTTGTGCTAGGCTTCACCTATTATGCGGTTCTGCTTCTTGGAAAACGGTTAGCTTATACACCACTTGCTATTAAAGCTTATAAGGTTTTGGTTTCTATTAATGTAATAAATGACAGATTGATGATTCCTTTTATTTCTTAGTTCATTATTGCCGATTGAGACAGCAAAAATATACAAAAAGAATCAATTTCATTGTCAGGTGTGGCTACGTTTTGCCGTGTAAAATCTGCAATTTCAAGCAATGAAGTGGCATTACCTATTGCTGCAGAGGAGGGTTTTACGGGGCTTCTTCAGGATTCTCAAGGACATGGATCTATAAAGAATGACTGTTCTTTCATAGCCAAAGGCCTTGAGGGTTTTTCTAGGGATGAACTTCTCAAAATTGATAGCGAGGGGCGTTGTATAATCACAGACCATGTGCATTTTGGTAAGTACCGTCGATCGATGTGTAAAACGTTTTCAACTTGCAGTATCATCTAGGATTTCTATGGGATAAACTCTATCAGTTTTGTTTAATAATGGTTCTATATTTGAAAGGTTACCATTTAATATCTTGCTGCATTTTATATCTGTCCTCACATTGTAGTGGACCCCATTTTTGCTTAGTAACAGATGTTTGTTTGGAATTGACAGTTCTTTTCAATATATATGGTCCCAGGGCTGGTTCTGATGATTCTGAAAGGATCCAGTTTAAGCTCTCATTTTACAAGATATTAGAGGTTGTTGGATCTCACTTGAATTACTCGATTCGTTTTCTGTAGAATTAGTCATGCAGCTTTTGACTATCTACATTTCTTTGAATGAAATTTGTTTTAGAGAAGATGGGAGTGTCTACTACACCAAGGACGGAGGATTATTGTTGTTGGGGATCTTAATATTTCTCCCTCTTGCATAGATTGTTGTGATGCAGGACCTGACTTTGAGAAGAATGAGTAAGTTGATCTTTGAATTTTGTTCCCATTATTGTCTTTGTTCTCTGACTGTTTCAAGAATTTTCAAAATTTTAACATCCCCCTAGCTATCCAAGGAAAAAGTGTCTCTACTCGTAGAGGTAGTCCGGTAGACGTAAGTTTTTCATACATCCCACCTTCCCCAGACCTACTTCCAGTGGGACATACTGGGTATGCTAAGTTTATTTTGTCCTCTTAATGTAAATTTTAACTTTTAGTTATATGATTGAACTTCATTTTCTGGTGATTTTTATTACTCTAAATCAGGTTTAAAAGATGGTTTAGATCGCTATTAGTGCAACATGGTGGACATTTCTTGGACGTCTTCAGATCAAAATTTCCTGATAGGTTAGCAAAAGCACTCTTGTCTTTTATTGCCTACAAGAACCCTTCATGTACCTTTTGTGTTTTAAATGTTCTGGGACGGTTTTGCAGAAGAGAAGCCTATACTTGTTGGTCCACTAGTACTGGTGCTGAGGAATTTAATTATGGGACAAGGATTGACCACATTCTTAGTGCAGGGCCTTGTTTACATGAAGAGTGTGATCAAGAAGGCCATGACTTTGTCACATGTCATATTCAAGAATGTGACATTCTGGTGCAGTTCCAAAGGTGGAAACCAGGAAATGCACCAAGGTAAATTTTACTCCATAGTTAGTTATGTCTGGAGGATGGTGATTCTATTAGCTATGCTAGAAAAACTTCTAGCATTGATAAGAGGGGTGGTGCGTGTGTTGTTTTCTAAAAAGGAGGGGTTTAATTGAAAAACTTTCGAGACACACTGCTGCCACATGCATGCACAGGATGACTATCACATGCTTATTTACATTCCATATAATAAACCATACTGACGAATTCAGTCTTTTCTGATTTTGACATAAACTACTGCATTTATTCTTAGTAAAATCTTCACTTACACTCATCTGTACCCGCAGATGGAAAGAAGGAAGGAGTATCAAGTTAGAAGGTTCTGATCATGTTCCTGTTTATTCGACATTGAGGGGACTCCCAGAAGTGGTATTGCATAGCACTCCTTCTTTGTCTACCAGATACCACCCTCAGGTCTCTGGGTACCAGCAAACTCTTGGTGCGCTTTTCTGTCACCTCACTTGTGGGCAACTTTACCTATTCATTTTTTAGTGTCCAAAGTTGCCAATTTGACTTGATTTTGGATTCCAATTACTTATGGCAATACTAATGTACTATACTAACTTGTACTTGTTGAAAAAATGTATTTAATTTGAACTAAGAGTAAAAAATCTTTTGTCACTATAAACTCATCCATTCTTTCCAGTTTTTCTAAAGTGGGACTCTTGAGTAGGTACAATAGAATTTGCGTAGTCGATTTCTAACTGTGCATAATAAATCTGCTTTTTTCGCCCTTTTCTTGCGTATTAAGCAATGTTGTTCAGTTTACCACATCTCAAGTTACTTTCATTTGTCAACTATGTATGTTCAGTGTAGTGTGCAATTCAAATTAACTAATGCATCTGTTTTTGAACTCTGGTATATATGCAGTATCCATGTTGATGAGGAGGGAATCGTCAACTCAAATTAATATCAATGGTGGGTCCACTTCATCACCAGATGGGAGTGTTACTAATCCAAACGTGATACATGATAGTCCCATTTCAAGATTGGAGGAGAGCAATAAGAGAGCACGATACAGTCGGGGGTCGCAGCTTACACTCAAGTCGTTTTTCCAGAATGTTCCAAGTGAAACGTTAGACAGCAATAGTATGGACAAGCATCATATCTCTACTTCCCTTCCGAGTGCTACTGAAAACGGTAACTCAAAGGAATGTGAATGGAATGAGAGTGAATCTATTCAGGAGGAAGGTCTGGTTGATGCATGTGACTCTTTAGATGAAGGGAAGAGGACTGATGCATTACAGGAGTGGCAGAGGATTCGAAAATTTATGCAGAACAGTGTGCCGGTTTGTAAGGGCCATAAAGAGCCTTGTGTTTCTAGGCTTGTTAAGAAAGCTGGTCCCAATTTGGGACGTAGGTTTTATGTCTGCGCCCGTTCTGAGGTATTTTCATTTATGGTCATCTATCTTCTTCATTTCTATAAGCCTTTGTGTGGTATAGTGAAGCGATAGAGGAGAGAAACGGGTGAGAAAAAAATACAGGAGAGAGGATTATACTACGTATTAGGTTTTGTGTGTTCTTTGGTAAGAGAGAATTGGAGAAGAAATAGGTCGAAACCTAGAAGAGAAACTCTATTTCTCATTGTCCTTCATATTTCTTCCCACCTAAGTGCTAAGGTTTTTTGGTAGCTGAATAAGCAGAAATGCAGAATAATGATAATAACTACTGTAATAAGCAGGAAATAGATGTTACCAAACGGCAAACGCTTTTCCATTAAAACAATTTCAGCAGACTCAGTTATTTCAGCCAAATAATCCTTGGTAGTACTTGGAAAACGTTGAGCACCGAATTCTCTTCTTACATACGAGTACTACTTTATGGCCTTATGGATTCTCAATTGAATCCGTTTAGAAATTATTTCGGTTAGTAACTTGGTACTTGTCTTTTGCTCTTCCCTTATGAATGAGTAAAAGGGAAAGCACATGCAAGCACACGAGTGTTCTTTAGTTATTACTACGTATATTTTATAAAAGTCAACTTTTAATCCTTTTTTCTTATATATTCTGGTAGGGACCTGCGTCTAACCCTGAAGCAAATTGTGGTTACTTTAAGTGGGCAGCTTCAAAACCCAAGGGCAAAATCTAGTAATATTTCCTTCCGAGATAAGATACAAGAGACAGTGCAAGGCCTTTAAGAACAGTTCATTTTTGGCTCAGTAAATATTAGGAATATTTTCTGTATACTCTGTAGCCTATACACTCTGTACTAACACCCCTCTTTGAGTTTAATATTATGTCTCTTTTCATATATCAGCCTCAACCAATTTTCACAATCGGACTGATATCGTTCAAAGTGTGCTTGTTCTTTTAGAAACGTATGAGCTTGATGCATATAACAATTAACCTGTAAACAAGAAAAGTGTGTGTTTAATATCACCACCGAGAACGTTCACTAAGCTTATACATGTCTAAGGACTCAACTACTGAAGAAGGTCATGCAAGCTTCAAAGATTTTTTTTTGAAACAAGTCAAATAACAATACCTGGCTAAAAGTTTATCTGCACACTTGGGTTTTGTACTTCCTTGGTTTTTGTATTGTAATACTGAATTACTCTTTACTGTAGTACTATGTAACCATTTCTACTTCTATGCAATAACAAATTCAGCTTTTCATCTTACAAGTTACAAGTATTGCATCAATCCCAATTCCCAAATTCAGCGTCTTTGACTTCAATAGTTTTCAGTACATGACTGCCATTTAATGCCAACATCTTGCAAGGAAGGAGAAAGATAACAAATGGGCAAACAGCAATAGTCATGGACAAAATTGCGATTGAAGTCAAAGACATGGATCAAATGTGGAATTGATTTAATATTCATATGAATAAAAGTGGAATTAATTCTAGATCAAACACAAACTTAATACTCTAAGACTAGTTTATATTTTATAATAATAATATAAAGATTCCATACTTTGCAAGTCAATTACTTTATTTGTCTTGTATAAGGACTTGCACTGTCCCTTTCTTTTCCCTTAAAAGATAAGATGTGATTTCATGACTTTGTTAGAGTCGATCGGATCTAAAATATTTTATCTCGTTTAACATTCAAGTTTGAAATATAACACTTCAATGGATCTAAAATATATTTGGCATGATTTGATTCAATGTCGCTGTGTGGACGGTGTGGTCTGATCGAAATAACAAGTATGGAATCATAAACAATAAGAACAAGTTGAACTAAACAGCACCCAGCTCATTCTTTAATATACTTATTATTTAATCAAGTAACATGTTACTTTGTCTTCTCAGCACGTCTATGGTTCCATGCTTCTATTATTGGGGTGGACCGGTCCCGGTTCGGGCCAACACCGGTTCACCGGGCCGGTTGGCCCGGCCCGAGTCCACTCCTACTTCTATATATCGACTGAAATTTCAAACTCCCATTCGGAACCCAACAAAAAAAAATTGATTTTTTTATAGTTGAGGATGGGTAGGTGACACACTACTACACTAGTATGCTGATTTTATATCTTGTCTTTCCCCGTAAGAATCAATTCTATCTTCTCAAATACGAGTTTAACATAACATGGTATGAGCTAAATTTTTTGTGACAAATAAAAAGAGTAAAATGGAATAAAGATAGGGGACATAAGGAGTCAGGGACGAAGCCAAAGAGGGGCACGGCGGTAAGTTGAGACCCTGAAAGGTTGAGCATATACCTCCTTTGTATATAAATTAAATACTTCCTCCGTTCCCTTTTAATTGAAACAGTCAACATTTCACGTTTGCTAACGCACAAGTTTGGCCATTAATATCTTTCATTCCCTATTAGTAAAAAATTTAAAAAATTCATATTTTGAAAATTTAGAATGAGAAGAATTTAACAATATTTTTTAAAAATTTAATTTATAATACATTAATTAATAAAATATAGTCAAAGTAGAATATGTGAATTGTGCAAAAAGTCCAATGTTGCAATTAAAAGAGAACGGAGGTAGTATGACTTTTATAACTCATTACGAGTAAAAAATTATCACTTCTTCAAAAAATAACATCATCTGAACTTGGAATGAATAAAATTTGATATGTTATACTACATACTTCGTAAAATTAGTCATTCAAAATAACGTATTATTCACTCATTAGCTATGTGAAGTTCATAATATACTTAGTATTACATACTCGTTTATATTATCAAATTCAACTCTCTAGACCTCTTGAATTAACCTTCATTCTATCAACATTAGAATTATTCAACCCAAATACTATCTCAAAATAATCAAATATGATCTCAAATAGATCAGACATTTTAATACCATATATGCTTAAGTTTTGACCATATACCATGTGTTTCTTGTTACGCCACTATATGGAGTAGTAGAGGACTGTGTTTATATGCAGTCGGTCATGCTTTTGCGGCCAAAAGCCTAAAATGACGTTTTTTTAAAACAATTGGTCGTGATTTACCATACTTGTTTTAATTACGGGAGAATTTCCATAATAGGAGTATCTTGTTTTTTATTCCTCGAATAAGAGTAAATTTCTGCCAAGTTTGGCATTACCAAGCTTTAAAACATGATATATTTTTTTCCAAACTTGACAGATTACTCATATTCAGGGAATAAAAAGCATGATACTCCTATTTTGGAATTTCAAAATGTTTTTGCTCCTGTTTAGAACAATTTCTATTTTATTATTTATTCATATGCTCAAATATGGTTGATTTTTCGTAAGGAAAACGTTTGATCCCATTCCTTGAGAAAATAGTTAAATAAAAAATCATAATATTCGGCTTATTTTGCTAATATATAATTGATAAAATGTACAAGAATAATTTCAACTATTAGTGATATACTTGAAATAATCCAAACTATCAATTATCTCAAAATAATCTCAACTATTGAAAAATCTAGTCAAAATACTCACTTACTCATAAATATTACTCCATACCGATTAATAAGTTATTTACGAATAATTATAAATCACCGAGTATTTTAAGAAGATTTTTCAACAGATGAGATTTTTTGATCGATAATAGTTGGGATTATTCTTGATTGGTATAGTAGTATAGTACTGGGATGGTTACATGTAAGAAAACGATGATTAAATTACTCAAGGTCGCATTCGGGTTCTAGAACGTACATTATTAGCTCGATTTGAGTATAAAAATCGGTTGGTTCATTTCCTATTTCAAGATATGGCGGTGTTCACCCTATTTGATAGTGATGTAAAGTTGTGAACAGAAGATTAGTAAGAGATTGAGATGTTATAATTTTCAAAGCCTAGAGGCGCATCCTTTTCATATACTAGTACTTACTTAAAAAAATGTAAATTATATATTTCTAATTAAAAAAATAGTACATTAAATTTATACAGTCATAATAAGGATAAGAATTACATTTATAGTGAAACTATCAGCTATAATTATAAACAAAAAGTAAAATAATTTATCTAATAAAACTTTTTTAAAGATCGAACTTCTTATAGAACATTATAAATAAACCTGTCATTATATCTAATGCCTTTAAAATAATTAATATTTAAAAATAATGAAATGCATATATAAATAGAATACAATACAATACAATATATTAACAAATTATTAATTAGAAAATGGACAAAACCCTTTACATAAGAAAATAGATAAAATACACACGCAATAACATAATAATCCCTTCGTTCCTTAAAACATTGTCAACAAATCTATTGTTGGGTGCCATTTTTTTCACTGGGTTAAAATGGCATTTTATCAAATCCATATTTAGATGATTTTTTTCTGGGTTAAACTAGATTTGATAAAAAAAACAAAAAATTGTCAACAATATACCATATCTTCCTATCCTAATATATATGCTTTAACAAGGCCGTAGATGAGGTTATGCAAGCTGGGCTACTGCACAGAGCCTCCAAAAATTGCAGGCCCATTTTGTTTTAAATTTAAATAGTATATATAGATAAAGTAGAAAAATATTCAGGTCTGGAACTCCGATCCGGACCAGAACCGCTGTCCGGACAGTGGTGTTTCAGCGTCTTCCCGATTTACGTTTTTGATGAAATTTTTATGACATATTCTTCATCAAATATAGTTTAACCCAGAAAAAAATCATCTAAGTATTCAATCGGGAAGGTCGTCAAATAATTTTTGGAAGTTAACTGCGTTTTATATGTATATTCCGGCGCAGTTATCTTTCAAAAATAATATGACGGCCTTATCGATTGAATTTTTAGTTGATTTTTTTTTGTGGATAAACTAGACTTGATGAAGAACATGGCATAAAAATTTCATCAAAAAATTTCACCGAGAAGGGCTCCAAAAGCCAACGTCCGGACGGCGGTTCCGGTCAAAAATTCCTGACCGGAAGAGTACTCTATAAAGTAATTGTTTAAATTATTAATAGGGGCCCATTTGCTTTTTTGAAGCAACTTTATACACGGAACGGCTCAACTCCAAATAAAAGCAAACCATACTTCTACACATTAGATCTATGCATTTTATTTAATAAAAAGCCTCATTTATGTGATTCACACATGGTCTTAATGTGTCAAGCCGGCCCTGTGCTTTAATATGTTGTATTTGGACATTATTTTCTCTATCGAAAATGACAATTTATACCAATGGCCCTACTTGCATCGAACAAAGATTAGTCTTGAACAATGAAATTAATACTTAAGATGAGATGATTATTTATAACTTCTGAGCTAAAAAAATCGAACTAATCAAGAAATGTGAGTAGCATAGGGATGGGTAGTATGAATGAGCGACCGCCTTTCGGTAAAGTAGTTTTCCTCTTTTTTCTTTCAATCATTTTGTTACAACATGCATGATCAATTTTGGGCACTTAAAGTTGTCGACTAAAATGATAAAAGAAAATTTGAAGGTATCAAACAAACAGTTATTTGTTCCCCAACGAGACGTTAATAATATATATACAAAGACATTGTCTCAACATGAAAAATAATCAATGTCTTCACATTTCAAGCATTACATTACTAAACTTTTATGTGAGGTTACAAATACGACCTGAGTTTTCTCGCACTAAAAATTATGTAGTAGTAAAGGGTTTAAGTACGAGTATCGTCTCCACAGGGACGAAAAAAAGGAATTAGGAATTAACTAAATTCAGCGATTAAAATAAATAAAATAACACTCATTGTTGGGTGTGTTTCGAAAAACAAAGAAAATTAATTAATAAAGATTAATTAAATAAAATGACTTAAAGAAAAACAAGAAATGAGATGAAGCAGAATAAGCCAAAGCTCGTGCTACGCACGATTTCCTTAAAACGTATTTGTTGCCTCCCGGGGT